TATGTTGGTTTGTCATCTAGATTGTGTTCGTTGGTTATGTTTTGTAACTCTATGCAAATGTCATATGAAATGAAAACATGAATGGATTGAAACAACTATGCATTTGTGTAACTATGTAACTATAAACATTTTCTACCTTAAACAAATTTTAGTTCAGATTCGAAACAAATTATGGTTCAGATTTGAAACAACTTCTGGGTCAAACACATTATGGGTGAAAAAGAAAAGAAAACCTTAATTCACTCACGGGAGAGGAAGAAAAGAAAACTTTGATTTATTTATTGACGAAGAATAAAAAAAATTGGAAAAATTTGCAAATAAGAAAAAAAAGAAAGAAGAAGATGAGACGACAAGAAAGAAGACACAAGATGAAGAAATAGTTGAAAGGGTTACCTACTTTATTTATGAGTTTTATAATAATATTATATTTTTATTTTAAAAAACAAAAAAATATTAATCTAAATAAATATGAAATAAAAAATGAGTTGGAATAAAAAACACTTAAGTCAAATAAGTGTTAGGTCATCAAAAAAATACTCTCAATTTTAAAGAAAACTGAAATCCTTAAAATATTACAAAATATAGGAACTAAAAAAACCGATTTTTAAAATAGAAGACTAAAAAAAAGATAATAGAAGAAAAAAGAAAAAAAAAATGAAATAAGCATTTTGTAAAAAAAAAGAAAAAGAAAATGAAGTAGGTATTAGATACGAGAAATCTTCCTTTCAATCTCTAATTTGTACTAGGCACCTCCAGAATGCTTAGACTTTTACCATATTACCTCTGGATTATTTTATATTTCCAATTTTACATCTTTCAATTTTTTACATCTTTCAATTTTTTTACAAAAGCTCTCTAATTTTATGGATTTTCCAAAGACACTATCAGACATCTACTTTTGATGACAAATGAGTTTGAATTCTTACCGTATTTTTAATTTTTTTTCTTCTGAATTTTTCTTGAATTTTCATCAAATATTCCAAAAAGTTTGTTAAAAATACATATTTTTCCAGATATTTTGAAAATGTCTAGTAAAAATACATTAGTTCTTCCATATATTTTGAAAGGTGCGGAAAAATGCATAAATATTTCCGAAAAATTCAAAATATCCAGAAAAAATGCATACATTCAAAGGGTCATCTCAAAAAACCCTAAAACATTTATGCATTTCCCCATCTTTCGAAATATCCGAAAATAGACATGCATTTTTCCGCATTTTTAGAAAAATCCAAAAATATTTATGCATTTTTTATGCATATTTAGAAAAGTCAGGAAACTCAATAAGTTCCAAATTTTTTTGAAAAATAAGGAAGGGTATAAAATTTTGTTTTTTTCCCAGTAAAGACCCAAGACACAAATAATACGATTGCTAGTCGACAACGTGATAAAGATGTTGCGAGGGCTAGATGGAAAGAAGGTTATGTAAAGGACTCGTATCTCAAGGCAAAAAGAGTGACACCGAATGGTTCACACAAAAGGCGGTTGACTGACGAGGATTAGTTTCGTGCACCCGACTATCTTATGTAGAGGATCTAGACTTGCTATTTGATGGATGAGAGATAATGAGGATGAGCCAGTTGATGTTCAGGCACCGTCTGCATCAATTCATGATAACTTTCAAATGGTGGTAGAGGTAGATGTGCCCTGTCTGACAGAGGTGCCTCATCCTTCGAAGGAAGAGACATCAACAACTATAGATGTTATTTCCCATACGACTAATGAGGCACTATCTACTGATGATGTGGATGTTACTCTACCTGTTGAAACATATGTTACTACTCCTACTTTGACAGACTCGTCTGTGCACATAGATAAATGATTTCTTGGTGGGATCATTGACACTTCTGTTCTCATAGGATATGCGCACTACATGGCTTTCGGGTTATGGCAGGGAGAGGTATGTATATGATATTCCGATGATATTACTTTATTTATTAATGATACTTTGAAGTTAACTGATATTTTTTCTTTTGTTTGTTACAAGACCGAATTCCACTTAAAGTGCCTGCCCATGGGATGAAACTAAAAAAGTTCTATGATGCCGTGATGCCTCCGGAGGTAAAGACAATAATTAATGAGTGCAGTCTCCTTCCATTGGTGGACAATTTGCTTAGCATGCTAGACGATCAGCTATTGTCAACATTTGTTGAGCAATTGCACAGAGTTACATCTTCATTCCATCTTCCATTTGGTGAGATGACGATTACATTGGATGATATCTCATTGCTTTTCCATGTTCCACTACCAGGTAGTTTTTTCACAGCTCCTATCATTAGTCAGGAGACCGCACATATAGGAACTGTATAATACTTGAGGGTTACTGAGTTGTAGGTGATTGATAAGCTTAAGTTTATGAGGGGTGCTCACTTTTGCCTATCTTAGCCGCATGATAGGTATGGCAAGCTAGTGCATCTAGGTATGTATGACGCAACCATTAGGGTATACATGCTACATCTTGCAGGATGTACTATCTTAGCAGATAAGTCTCATGTATACATCGACATGAAGTACATGGGGTCGTTTAACAACCTTGAGCATTCCGGTTGGGCATGAGAGTGTGGTGCATTGACGGTTCTCTACTCCGCCCTCGGAGAGGCGACTATTTTTTAGGCCAGGCAGCTTGTCGACTATATGAGTATGTTTTTGGCACAAGTCTTTCTTATTATGGTAGTTCTATTTATGATATTATTTATGGTTATATGAGTCTTTGTTATTGTGTTATGAAGTACATGAGGAAAATTGACACGTTAACTGTAGATGATGCCATCTGGACACCATACATATGCCATAAAGTGGATGAGGAGCTCGATGATGCTATACTTTTTTCTGGTTACCTGCGATGGGAAGGGTTAGTGGCTTGACACTTACCTGAGAGGTGCATACGCCAATATGGATATGTACATGACATCCCACGATCAATCCTTACTATTCCATCTGAGGGTATTGATAGCTGGTTTTGTGGTAACATTATGAGTTCTACACGTGCCATTAGAGATCGTGTGGTGGAGGTTCAGTTTCATGCAGAGTGTGTGAATGAGTATTTGGATTGGTACCTTAATGTATCACACCCTCACACCATCCCATACATGCAACATGGAAATGATGTTAGATCTTCTCATGTTTAATCTTCACATGATGGTTCTTCTTATGTTGATGCCAGGGTACTTTCTGATGGCATGACGCCGCCTCCACATGGTGTAGATGGCGTTCAACGCTTGCAGATGATAATTATCATTATAGATAACCTCATGGGTTTGGTGAACCTCGATGACGAGGTTTATAGTTTGGTAGTGGGGGCAATACACATAGCTCGCGGGGAGGCTTATTTAGACATTATTATTATTTTTATGTACTATTTGTATATTATGTGTAATATTACGCAGACATCTGCACAACCGTTTATTAGATAACATTTTGGCACTTCCATTGATGCATGACGAACATAACTTAACATTTGACAAACAATTACATAACTTAGACAAACGATTACATAACTTAAGAAAATAATATATAAGAACATCTAAACACTACCAAATGATTAAGGACATTTCAACATCTTGATTATGTCGTCGACAGATCTAGAAATTGTCGCATTAAACTCGATTGGTCCCTTAGTTAGCCTAAGGTGACATGTTTTTTCACATAGCTTCCATATCTTCATTAATTTTCAACTAAGTAAAGTTGTATTTTATCCTGCCAACAATATCAATCCAATTTTCACGAAACACGATCTTTCTCACCTGTCTATTATCAATGTCTAACAACAATTCATTCAACTTGGATCTGAAAGAGTCGAGACATATGGACCCTCCTAAATTCGAAACTCTACGGGAGTTTTCGTCCCGTTGAAGTACACTTCTGCCTTGAATAGAAACTGAGGAAGAGGCATTCTATGATGTTATGCAAGTTAACAACACGTAACCCCCATTTATACAACTTTTGAGTCATTATGGACCACACAATACGGTTGGTGCAATCACAACCGTCTAAAAGTGTCAGCAAAATCGTAGCTGTTCAATTGCACACTCTTTTATAACTATTGAATTTTTCAATAATGGACTAAATATTTGGTAGTTTCCAATTTAAAAAAAAATTAGTACTATGCAAATATTTTGGATATTTTCATGCACCAGATATTTCGCATACACTACTTTATCATTACCGATTTTTTTTCAACTACCAAATATTTCATCTAAATTTCTGGTATTAGCTTTCCACAAGGGCAACTTAGGAAGTATTGAAAAATGAGGGGGTGCCACTATAAAATGAGGGGTTGGATATAGGCATGGCAAAAAAAACCCGACCCGTCGGAGCCCGCCTGAAAATTAGCGGGGAAAATCCGGTTTGAGTCGGTACGGGTGCGAATGCGGGGAAAATCCGATTTTTAATTACGAGTGCGGGTACGGAGAGACACTAAGACCCGCCTGCCCCCGACCCCGCCCGCCCCGAATAATGTATTTTAATTTAATTCTCTTATTTTACTTATTTTAATATTCATTTATTAATTATATGTTTAATTAAATTATTAATACCTTTATTACAATTAAAATAATTAAATTAATCAAGTTAATATTCATATACTAATTAAAATTTTAATTAAATAATTAATGAGTTTATTAAGATAATCAATTTTTTAATTAAATTATTAATTTTTATTACAATTAAAAAAAATTAATTTTTTTGCGGGTGGGGGCGGGGCGGGTGCGGATGTACCCGTTCTCTACTGGAGACGGGTCTGAGCGGTAAATTTTTATCTCCGGTTAGATTTGAGGACGGAGGCGGGTGTGTTACACGGAGGCAGGTGCATGTATAGTAAAACCCGCCTCCGACCCGCCCATTGCCATCCTAGTTGGATATGGCCCAATTTCCTAACAACTTAAGCAGAGACCAATTAAGTGACAGCCTCACCCAGGTATTCAAAAAACCCTAATTTCTGTCATCTTTTATCCCAGTTGCCGTAACTCGAACCAAGACGCTGAGATCCAAATCAACACTTCAACATGAAGGTTCTGCTCTCAAACCCTAAAATTTTCTATCTACTTTGATTTATTGCTCTTGCCACTGAACTATATTCCCATCGTTTTTGCAGTTCAACGTTGCGAATCCCACCACTGGATGCCAGAAGAAGCTCGAAATTGATGATGACCAGAAGCTGTAATCTCTTTACCTATTTTAATCTTACCGCTGCTTGATTTGTTCTTTTGTTAACAAAATTGTGTTGTTAATTGCAGTCGTGCTTTCTGGGACAAGAGGATCTCTCAAGAGGTTAATGGTGATGCTTTGGGAGAGGTATGGTTAAATCCTGAAATAAATTTAGGAACTTTGATGAAATTTGTATTGATTATTGTTATCATCTTTTGCTAATGATTGTCCTACTAATAGGAATTCAAAGGCTATGTTTTCAAAATTACTGGAGGGTGTGACAAACAGGGTTTTCCAATGAAGCAAGGAGTGTTAACTCCTGGTCGTGTTCGCCTCTTGCTTCACCGAGGTATAACTCTTTAGGGTTTTCCACTTTTCCAAGCAATATCACATATATTATATTGTTGAGTTCAATTTAATGTTTGTTTGAGCAGGAACTCCTTGTTTCCGAGGACACGGAAGGCGCAATGGAGAGAGAAGGAGGAAGTCAGTCCGTGGGTGCATTGTGAGCCCAGATCTCTCTGTTCTGAACTTGGTGATTGTGAAGAAGGGTGAAAATGATTTGCCTGGCTTGACAGATGTTGAAAAACCAAGAATGAGGGGTCCTAAGAGAGCTTCCAAAATCCGCAAGCTCTTCAATCTGTCTAAGGAGGATGATGTCAGGAAGTATGTCAACACCTACCGTCGAACATTCACAACCAAAGCTGGTATTTTTCTTCTTGATACTCTCTGAATGATATTGTGTTATTTATCTTTGTTCTTCTGTTAATATGTGAGGCTGTAGGAGAAGTGTAATTTGGTTCTAAAAATAAGTCTTTGTAGGATAACCTATTTAATATTTATCACTTAAATAATGTTTCCTATTTCAAAGTTGGATTATTTCAAATTTATTTGATCTGAGCTGACTCCATTAAGTGACGGCTAATCTGGTTGATGAAAATTTATTTTTTCAACCTTGAACTTACTCTATGTGACTTGTGAGTTATATATTATTCAAATCATATATTAAATTATGCAATTCAGCTTCCCATTATATGGCTGAGTATGTGAATCTAGGTGGTACTCTAATTATAATTTGTTTTCCTTGACAATATTCCATGGAAAATTGGAAGAAGCTAGGTCATACTGCTTAAAAAGCCTACCTTTATCCTTTCACACTCAGTTTGTAACCTTTGTTTTGTATATTGATGTCATGCTATTGTTAGAATTTGAGGGTGGAAGATGATATAGCGAAGCGACATATCATGCAAGTCTATGAAAAAAAGGAACTAAAAAAAGAAATGGCTGTTGCAAATGAGTGATGTGATAACTGTCAGTCAGTTTAACAACTGTTATAACTGTCATAAGTCAGTTAGTGCAATAAGATAGTTGCATAGTAGTATATTAATAGCAGATTGAGTGTTAGTAAAATTTTCTATTGTTAGTTAATATTGTTCTTGGAGATTTCAGGTTTCTCGATTAACCAACAAGATTACTATTTGGAAATTAAGATTTTAAGGAACATTCCTTATTCCCAGTTGCAATTCAGCTCTTCTATCTAATTTTATTCCAGTTCCTCTATCTAATTCTTTTATTTTGTTTAATTAAATGGTATCGTTGAGAGATTTCAGGTTTCTTGAATAACCTAAGAGATTACTATTTAGAAATTATTTGATTTTTTGTATTAGATTTAGATACATACTGCTTATTACCTGTTGATGCTCTGTTCTTCTATCTCATTCAGATTACAATTCCAATCAACTTAGCATGGATCTAATACCAGTTGATGATACCGGTTGATAGTAAATGGAACCTAAATTAGATATAAGAACTGAGTTGCAATCAAGGATTTTTATTTCCTAAAAACTACTATTTGGGAAACTAGGAATCCCAAAAACAATTACTTATCGCAATCTGCTATCATTAGACTACTTTTCAACTACCTACTGTTAATTGAATAATAATAGTCGTAACAACTGTCACTTTTAATATATTTCAATTATGCCCCTTGTTGGGTTCCTCCTTTCAGACTTGCTTGGTAGGAAATTGCTTTGTTCTATCATAAGTCCCATTTTCGAATGGGATATTTATGGTCATTACTAATGGACTAATTTGTGATGGTGTCTGGTCACGAAATGACATGTCTCTGACTGTGCAGGGAAAAAGCAGAGCAAAGCACCAAAGATACAGCGTCTGGTCACTCCCCTGACCCTTCAAAGGAAGAGGGCTAGAATTGCAGACAAGAAGAAAAGGATTGCTAAAGCAAAATCCGAGGCAGCAGAGTACCAAAAACTTCTTGCCTCCAGATTGAAGGAGCAGAGGGACCGCAGAAGTGAGAGTTTGGCTAAGAAGAGATCAAGGCTCTCTACCGCCAAGCCTGTTGCAGCATAGGCTTTATTTGCACAAATGAAGTTAATACTTCGCCAGAGTTTTTGTTATTATTTTTTTTGTTGCTGCTTTTGTTATGCTGTTTTGCAATTAAACTATGTTTTATTACTTTTCTTTTGGCTTTAATGGATTAAATAGAATTTAACTTTACTTTGGTGGATCGAGTGGTCTATTTCCTATTTTTAAATAATTGTGTTGAGCTTAGTTTAATGGGTGATGGGAACCTACCTAGAGCAGATAAGTTTGATGACATCCATAGTCAAACTTAACTTGTTGGATTTGCTTTGTTTTTGGAAGTAAAGGCACTTGGTAAGCTCAATGTAAAGATGGTCGTTTAGTGTCTCAAAGATTACATCGAGGGCTTTGTGATGTAAGATTGGCATATTCGTTTCTCATGGGCAGTAATTGAGTAGCTAGTTTGACACCATTATGATCATAATTTCATTTTACTTTGATGTTGTACCGAAATTGAATTCAGAACGGTAGACCGGTTTCAGGTGGCTTGTTGTAACCACGAGGCTTATCTTGAATTCAGAACGGTAGACCATTCAAAATTGTATCTGTATCTTCTTCTAACAATGCTATGCAAGACTTGCCTGTTTTCAATAGAGATTTTCTATAATATATTAAGGAAAGGAAAAGGGAATACAAAGTTAGACTTTAAGGAATACAAAATTCGTTAAAGCAAGTTGTTTCAACTACACTTGTCCTTAACATAAACTTAAATAATATGAATGCCTTCTTATAGGAAGAAACCCTTTAGTTCCAATAGTCACCAACACCTTTTTATTCATGAACAAAATATCATGCAAGAGAAATAAAATTTATATGATTCTGCAGAGGAATGATGCACTAACAATTTTAATGAGAATGCGGCAGATGCGCTCCAAGGGTCCTCTTGGAAGTTTAGGCAGGGTCTAGTTTGATTAAGTATATTTGTAGTCTCCTACGATTTGAAGATGTGCAATTTGAAGCTAATCAATCTGAGGATTACCTTGCTAAGGGTTCCTCTTGGAAGTTAAGGCAGTGTCTGATCTGATTAAGGATATATGTAGTCTCCCGCATTTTGAAGATGTGCAATTTTATCATATATTCAGAGAAGCTAATCAATGTGTGAACTATGAAGTTAAGTCTGTCTAATGATTTTGAGGTGACTTTGTTAGTCGATTGACTTGAGGCGTTTGGTTAGTCTGGATTATTTTAGGGTCTCTTTGTTTGGGCCTTATCCCCCCTTAAAAAATTATACTTTAGGTTTAGATATTTTCTAAGTTTGTTTTAGGATCATCTGATTTTCCCTCTTCAAGCTTCTAACATGCTCTTGTGAGCATGAAATCTTAGGAAGCCCACTATCCTGATTAATTCCAACCCATTTTCTTTAAATTGTTTTAAAAGAATATTTGAAATTTTGTGTGGTGTATTTTTAACTAGAGGCAACACACGGGCATACCCACCCCATTTAGTTTCGTCCTGCAAAAGCCCACAAAAAACAGAGTGGAGCGGAGCGATCATAATTAAAGATGTGGGCCAAAAACTTATGTCTATCCCACAAAAAATTGAATGCGGGGCGGGAAAAGTCCGCAGACATTACATTTTTTAAGGCTAAAAACTCAAAAGTTTATGCAAATGTTCGTGTCCGCAAATGTCCTCGAAGAAAATGGGACGGAGAGAGTTTAAATCTTTGACTTGCCCTACACTTGAGCATGCCCTACGGACCAAATCCGTTTTGCCACCCCTACTTTTAACAAAGGTTACACGAGTTCTTAGGTGGACATGTCTCTTATGATTCTGATTTTGAAAATTGATTCACTTTAGGAATTTGAGCCTATAAATAGAGGTATATTTGGTAGTGTTATTATTCTAGAAAAATTCATTTATCATGTATAATTCTATGAATAAACAAGCTGATGTTAATTATAAAGGCTGATCTTGAGAAGACTTGCGAAAAGGTGAATTGTGATATTCTCTATAATACCCTTGATTAATTTGGATTTATTTATGGAATCATCTCTTTATCATAAGCAATATCTTCAATATTTCGGTCTCTTTGCTGTGGAATGATAGTAATTATTTATGGAATCATCTCTTTATCATAAGCAATATCTTCAATATTTCGGTCTCTTTGTTGTGGAATGATAGTAAGACTGGACAATTTTAACTTCTTTTCGATCTCCAGCAAAGAGATTATTTTTTATCACCTTATCTTTTTTCTTTGCATGGCAAGACTTTTAGGAAGATTACATTCAACCTTTACATATCACTTCCGATGATCCTAAAATATATCACCCATTTTTTTTTTTGGATGTTGTGTTACTATTTTCAAAGGAAAAAAATTTCACAAGCTCAAGTCATTGATAACTTTTAGATAATCTTTTGTTCTTTTTAAGGTTTCAATCTAGATAAATAATATATTATGCCTCCTTTTAGATGATTTTTTGTTCTTTTTAAGGTCTCAAATCGAATCTAGATAAGTAAATATGTTATGCCTCGAAATGTTAATCGGGCCACTAAAAAGGATTTTGAACAACTCACTAGTATCAGATTTTTCATTTGATTAAAAAACTATTTAGGGATTTAAAATAAAATGAAGTCATACAAAGAAATAATATTTCGGAAATCTATGTTAAGGTAGATTGAACACCTTCTCGAAAGGTATACTCTTAGAAAAAGCCATGGCGTGTTACTTCTTTACAAGCTTATATTATGAAAACTTGTTGGTTTTCACAATATGTTTGTTAGACATTGGGTGTGAGGAGTTTTGTTTGGTATGATACACACTCCTCCTTACATGATTTCTTCAAATGCAGAATTATTAAATTATAGCAACCATTTTTTTTAAAAATTTATTGTATATATAATGTATGAACATTGTTATATATTAGATATATTAATTATTCAATAAACATAATAAATTTTATTGTTATTGTTTATAATAGTAATCAGAAAGTGTACAAAATTTTATAGTTTTAAGAATTGAAACATCTTTAATCTACTATTAAAAGAAAGCACTTGTACACACATCCTTATCAAATTAAATATTTGATCTGGCCTGATCAGAAGGGGATCACAGACTGGCCACTCGCTGTTGGACTGCTATCTGTTCGCCGATGATGAGGAGGAGGAGAGGGGTGTACCTGCGAACACTCCGATGCCAAAGTAAGAAATTGGGCAGAGTGAGAGCAAAGTACAGAAAGGGCAAGATGTGAATTACCTGACCTTCTTGAGGAAGAGGGTATTTATAGAGAGACCCCAACGCTGGGCCAACGGTCATTTGAGGTGGGCTGGATGACCAGGCCCAACCCTAATGACTGCTAGGGCTTACGTGGCGTAGTGAAGACCAGAACGTGGTCTTCGCCCTAGTCCAACTATCTCGTGATCTCCGGAAAGTGGGTTTGACCTGCTCTTTCGGAGGTGGGCAGTTGGGAGATGACGTGTCCCCGCGGAGGGGGGCACGTGGAGAACGTGCGCCAGGCACGTTGTCCTCCCCGCGGAGGGGAGCTCGCGAGGTTCCCCGGAGGGTGTTGTTCTCCCCGCGGAGGGGAGCACGCAAGGATGTGGTCTTGCTCGATGGACCGGGGGTGCCCTGTTCGGCCGAAAAAGGGGGCGTTGAAGACGCTACGGGACGTGCCGTCCATCCCGGCGGGGAGCGTTCCCTGCCCGTCCTATGGGGGTGTGTGCCCGGTCAGGCTAGTCACTTAACGGGCCTTGTGCGTTATTGGGCTGGACCGCGAGGCTGGGCCCAGACCAGAACAGGAGCCCCCCAAGTCGAAGCTCTGTAGCGAAAGAGCGAGGACTTAAGGTCGTTGCTTCGGGGAGAGAGGTAGCGAAGCGGGAGGCTCGTCGGGTTTGTGCCCGATGGAACGCGTACTTGCGCGAGGGTCTCCTCGTAGTCGGTAGAGCGGGGCAAAGGTATGTGAAAGGACGCGACTGTCAAGTTACCGCCACGTGTCGCACGTTAAGTGGTAGTAGGGGCGGCTACCCTAGGTCATTTAAGAGCCTAGTGTCGCTTCGAGTCCCGCGCCGAGTTATAAATATGGGGGTCCCCGCTCATTTTTCTACTTTCCACCTTGCTGTCTTACCTGCGAAACTCTGAGATTCCTGCTCGTCCGCCGTCGCTGTAGATCGCCGCTGCGCAGTTTAGTTATTCCTCCCGTTCGCCGCCGTCACAAGTGAGTTTCTCTCTTTTCTCCTTTTATTTCTGCCGTTTAATTAGGGTCTGTGGTCGGGGCGTGATGAATGCCCCGAGGAGAGACGCGAGTTTCGCCGTATCTGGCGGTTTTCTGAGTCAGTTCCGATGAATGCCCCGGGGAGGATTGGTTGTTCCGGTGAATGTCCCGAGGACGGGGGATTTCTCCGATGAATGCCCCGGGGACGCGCGCCTTTTCCGATAAATATCCCGAGGAGGGATGATAGGTTGGCCTTTGAATGCCCCGTGGAGGAGCGGCAGGGAGCGCCTACTCGCTCGTCGTTCTCCCGCCTTTGTCGCCCTTTCACTTGACCTGCGGTGGAAGGGTGGATTTGATCTTGGCTATCGAATTCACCATTGTCCTCTGCTTTTCAGGTGTAGATATCGGCCTTGGTACCGGGGACGATGGTCGAAGATAATGAACCCGAGGTCCCGGATTTCGACGAGCGCGTCCTCCCCGTCGAGGAGTGGGTGGCCGAAGAGCCGTTGTCCACCCAATCTTGCTTCGTGGTCGACGCGTCCGATGTCTACGCTACCGTCGAGGATACGCCTGAAGGGGAGCCGCAACACTGGCAGGTGTATCGCCTGAAGGAGCACCATCGCATCTGCTCGCGATATGGGCGACGGATGTTTCCCATGCACGAGTTCTACTTCAAAGAGGCTCGGCTCAGATTGCCGTTCTCCGCTTTCCATCTGGGCCTCTTCGATTGGTTACGTTTGGCCCCGTCCCAATTGCACCCTAACACTCTGGCCTTTATCCGCGCTTTCGATGTGGTGTGCTTTTATCTCGAGGTGGAGGCCACGGTGCCCTTGTTTTTTC